AGAACTGAAACTCCTACACTGCTGAGGTCATGGGCTACAAGACAGGAATCAGCAGATGATCTGAGTGGGCTTGAAGAAAGTGCTGATATTTTCAGAAGATATTTCCCTCTTCCCCTTTTTAGATAGCCCTTGAGAGGGAAAACACATATAATGGGTGGGAGGTGCTGTTCATGTGTCATGAGAAGAGAGGACTCAGGGGCACAGAGAAAGGAGCAGAAGGCACAAAGTGCCTCCAAATGAAGAAAATTGGAGAGATAGAATCAGAAGTGTCAGCTACTGCAGAGCTGCCCAGGGTGAGGGCATTTCTGGTAAGGAGGAGAGCAACAGTTAATGTTTGGAAAGCACGATCGTCAGACTGACTAATTCTTCAGTTATTGATGAAAATATTTAACATTGGATGGGGAAAAGGTCAGCAAATATGACAGTTACCCCCGGAGATGCAAAAATCAGTCAGGATAGAGCCAAACCTGCCCTCAGCTGTCATCCAAATCTTATATGGAACAGAATGAAAAACTTTTCAGGTTTGGAAAAGGAAAAAAAAACTGGGTGAGTCTGGATGCAGAAGTACGGGAGTATCGTGAGGAAATCTGTTGCTGGCTCAGTCAAAAACAAGCAGTACTGGAAAGCTCATGAGAGAGTCTGTGTTTGTATGATTCTAGTCTGACTCCTACAAGGAAAAGGGGTCAAAAGTTTATCCAAAGTTTAGCCAGTACCTGAACTTTCCAATGCTGAGCTGAACTGAACCTCTAACCCAAATCACTCCTCCAAATGCGATACTATTTAGATCACTTTTTCAGTTAACCCACTTCATGCTCAGCTATTAGACTGCCTTCATCCTGTCTGCGCTTGCTTACTAACATGCCTCTTTGGAGTTAAGATTCCTACTGTGGGGATGCAGAAATTGAGGCCAGGGGCACTGTGAAAGACATTAAACCTTGCCCTCCTCCTGCTTGCTTTCATTGTACTCTTTCTATGTAGTGCCTTGGCATGCACATTAAACCATTTTATATATCCTTTACACTCAGGTACGTGACTCAGCAGGGGAGATATGAGCTGGACGGCTGCTATCACCCAGGCTGCTGCTTTCCCTGCCAGACCATTGATCTCACTGCTACATGGTGCTCTCCTGGATTGCCAATGAGTCTTACCCAGTGCCTTTGTCTTTAAACTGTCCAGCCTTGGTGATGGGGCAAGGGGGTCTCTGTGTGTGCCTCCGCTGCAAGAAGAGTCCAGCATGAGAAAGCTATGGTGTCACTGCGGTATTAGCGCACAGTCACGGTGCCTAGTAAATAAGCCATGGTCTAAATATGGGAGGAAGTGTGGGGTCCCAAGGGAAGACTGGGATGGGGACATTGCTACTTTTACCTCAGAGTGGCTCCACTGGCACTCACAGGCCCCGGCTAGGGATTTTAACCATTAGCTGTACACCACCAGTGTAAGGAGAGCAATAAATTCCACCTCTTGCATGTCTCAGTGCAGATACAGGTTGAAATAGCAGAACTGTGTTGCAAACCAGCCAGGCCAGCCTAAGAGGAAAAATAAGTTCTTGTAAAGCAATCCCCATACAGCTTTGTCAGCTGTAGGGACTTTAGGGAGCAGTTATATGTGCTGAGGTGATGCTTCTTTATGGAAGCTACATACTCCACAGCAAAAAACTGGTGGGGTTCCACATAGCCATGAGATTTAAATAAAATCCTCAAAATTATTTAAGCTGTGAGGGATTAAAACCCAAAAAGTGAACTCTGAGGCTGTGTAAATTCAGGATCCCAAAGTCACCTCAGAATTTAATCCTTAGGCTTAATCTGTAGATTGACACTTGTTATATTGAAAGCAGAGAGGCTCTGAGATTTATTCCAGCAGATACTGGAAAGCTATCTATTTGTAAGAGAAACTTCTCGGGTTCCCCCAGGCATTTGTATTTTCCCAGCTGACTTTTCTGTTTCAATAGCAAGAAGAGATGCAACCTATAGAGAGAGATGCCACTACTCTTCTGTCAAATACTGCACATTCCAGAGTGCTTGCTCATGCTACATCCTTCCCTACGGAGCTGCTGCCTAACTTTCCCAAAGTCGATATTAATATCACAGACCATTATAATACAGTTATTTTCATGGAAGCCTGGGAGGAAGTCACATGGCATTAATTGGTCCCTGGTGCCCATGAGGGCTCCATTTAGTTTGTTGGTTTTGCTCGCACAAGCAACGATGAAGTGAAAAGCTGAGGAAGTAACAGTGATTGTCCTAAATGAGTATTTTTTTAGTACCTGTTTTGTTAATGAATCATTGTTCCACTTAATTGGGTGAACATATTTATTAGGCAGTACGAGGACACATGCACACACATTCTCCGCCAGCCAAACTGAGTTTTCATACCTCCTCTGTGCCTGCAAGGGCTGGACTGCCCTAGGTACTGGTGGCAGTGTATTCTGTCTAATACCCTTGAACCAGACATCATCCCAGGAATGATGCCTGGAATTCTGTGTCAGGAAGGAGCACATTGTGATGGCTATAGAGTCATCTTCCTCTGTCTATGTGCTTTGTTGGGAAGCTCAAAACAGTAGCAACACACATACACACAGGACCACTAGAAGGGTCTTTCTTGACAGCTACTTCTGCTCCTGTTACCTTTCAGTTCAAAGCAAATAGAGCTCTTCCACTGGTGCTGCCTCATATGAACTGTATGTGCCTGATTTTGAGACAGTTAGAGCCAAGAATGTAAAACTGTTCTGGTTATACAGCTGTTATATACAGCGCAGGTGCAAGTGTGTACACTGGAAAGCAGGGCTCTCTGTCCCTGACTATGTGCAGCAGAAAGGAGAGCATGATCCTGCAGGCAAAGGACAACTCTGAGAGCCCAAGAGCTGTAGTCCCATTGGTGACCCGTAACTTCTACAAGAGTTAGTTAACTCCCTTACTTCTGATGTCTTGTGGTGCTGTTAAGATGTGTTTATAGCTATTTTGCTAGAGATGGTTAAAAAAGCTGATTCCTGTCAAACATTTATTTCAATAGAAGTTATGTATGCTAACAGTTTTTTTTGTCACAATGTGTGCTTTTTGTCAGATATTTTTACCTTTCATCGAAGAGTTGAAAACCCTCTAAACCAAAACATTAAATTCAATTTAGAAATGCTGTTGTAGTACCTCACAGGAATAGTAATTTGGCTGCCCCATTCTTCTTCAGGATTTAGAATCCACAGCTAAATACCACCTCCAGTATGCATCTCAGGGAGGACAGTCACTGTGAACCATTCGCACATATGGATACCTGAGGCAACTAATCCCCAAAATGTGTCACAGCAGCATTTCCTAATTGAAAGTTTCCTCTTTTCCCCTCCCTCCCCTCAGAAGTTTTCACCTTTGAAGGTATTTTGGATGAAAATCCAGGTTTTCAAGTATCTATGAGAAAGAAAATATTTTTCCACCATTTTTAATGGAAAAAACATAATTTTTGGTATTTACATATTTTTGTGCCCATATTTCTTAGCCAACAATCAGTGTGAAAGAAAACCTCTGGCAGAGAGAGTAAAAGACTGCATCCCTCTAATCCACTGAATTTAGAAACTATCCTGATGTTTTCGACCAATGACATTCTGAGGCATACAATGGTGGATGTTTTAGGAATAGCACACAGCTTTTGCCATGCTCACTTCATGTGCTTGCAAAGCTCTCCTGTTGCCAAAATCTTCAGCTTCCCTTTTCCCATCAGAAAAAGGCTCCAGTCTCATCCTTGACACAGCTTGTACACTACAGTCATGCCCAATCAATACAAAAAGCCTTAATAGTATTAAGAACCATATAGTAGTGCTGAGGGAAATGTTTTCAGTAGGTTGACACTTCATTAAGCGTCAATATTCATTATTCATTAAGCATATTGAATAGGCCTCTGAAAAGTTTCAGATTATCCATGGCCCAGTCTTCCTGCCTTCTCCCAAAGCCCTGCCCTTTAGCATATAAAATTGTTTTAAAAAGGAACTTAAACATCATTGAGCCTAACCATTAACGGAGCACTGCCAAGTACATCCCTAAACCATGTCCCTTTGACACATCTACATGTCTTTTAAATACTTCCAGGGATGGTGATGCAGCCAAGGCCCTGGGCAGCCTGTTCCAATGCTTGACCACCCTTCTGGGGAACAAACTTTTCTTAACATCCAGTCTAAACGTTCCCTGGCACAACTTGAGCTCATTTGCTCTTGACTTCTTTTGGGTGACCAAGGAACCCATTAGAAGTTAAAAGGCCTCACAAAAGGAAAGTGATTTTTTTTATCTGAAATCAGCCATTTCAGTCCAATTCTATTCCATAAAGAACTGAAAGGCTTTTTTGTTTTTATTCCAAAGCCAAATGAAAACAATTTTTGAACTTCAACAGTTGTTGGAAAGTGGAATTGTCATTTTGTGGACAGCACCACTGAGCATATGGTGTTACTGTCAAATAAATCTCGTTTAATATCAAAATGAATAACGTTGCACTGATTATGTTCTTTGGTGTATTTTTAACTCACTTAAATCCTATCTCTTCTCATCTAAACAGACCTTTCAGAGAATCAAGGAGTTTTGTTGCAGAATTAAGTCCATTATGCTATGCAACACATTTTGCTATGCAAGCTATCCATTTTATTATGGCCTTTGCTTTGCAAGGACCACCACAACAGGAAAAAGTCTGTTTGTTTCCTCTTCCTGGGAGCATTGGAGGTGTTGCAAGAAAGCCTGTTCATCAAACAAGTTATAGTTCAGTTTTGCCGTTCCAAGTAATATGGATAATCTGGAGAAGTACTCTTAATTTTTTCCTAAGGGAAAATATTCCCTCTAGGTCTCAAATATAGGGTACAAAAAAGTATTTTAATATATTTGAACTCATGACATGTCTGTGAGGTACAGCGGTGTAACCACATCCGTTACACCTAAGGGGAGCTGGGGTGTGAAAAACTCACATCCTTGAGTATTTTGGTGCAAAAACCCTTGACATTAAGGGTCTTTGCACCCTTTCATTTCTTTATTTTTAAAAGAGGTATAATTGTTCTGCAGTTTGCTTGCATTCAGTTTTATTTTGAAACTTCTGTCTGAAGTAGGAGCTGCACACATATGGATCAGGCTGAACAAGTCATTTCACCCCACTCTGTCTCAATTTCCCTGTCTATACGGTGAGAATGATGAAACTTCTATAGAAGTATTGAGTACCTATGGGCAGAAAGAGTGGTTCAGTTAAATTTCACCTGACACAGAACAGACTGAATGTTTTTTTCTCTGTGTCCATGTTCCTGTCAAAAGATATAGGACAGTTAGTACTCATAAACTAGCATCATACTTTGATGTGCTACATCTTTGTCTGGTATTAACAGGCATAGCTCCATCCACAAAGCTGCACCCAGTAACCAGCAGAAGACATACAGCTGTAGCAAGGAGCAAAGGCAGGCACAGCACTTCCCAGGATTTTATGCTGACTTGAGCTCCTTTTGTCCAGTACTTGACAAGGGGCCCAGGCTAAATAGGAGGCCACAGGGCAAAGGGCAAAAGAATGATACTAATTCACAAACAGCCTCATAAAACTACTCTTATTGGCTCTTTAAAAAGTTGTAACTGTCTGCCAAAAGAACTACACATGGATGAGGTCACCACGAGCAGTCAGCAAGCCCTGCTATGCAAGAGAAAGATCTGGTCATGTTTTGCTTAAACCAATAGAGAGGTAGGTACAACAGAGGGAATCCTAGCCTGGCTAGCTGGCCACGGTCCACCTACTTTCTTGTCAGGCAGTCACCAGAAGTGGACAAATTTGTGCTTCAGTCTTAACTTAATGGTGTCCATAGGTTAAAAAAATATATGTGATCCAGCGAGTGTTTCTGTAAGATGCTGATTCCCAATCCAGCAAACCACTTCAGGATGTGAAAGTATCATTGTTTTCATTTGTCATTACCTGCTGTTTCATACAGAAAGGACCTACCTTGCACACCCACTACTACTGTGGGTCAGGGTGCTCTCTGTGTTTCTTTTTCTTCACATGAACTATCTCATTAAGTAAATAAAAAAGATTGCTGAAGAACACCACCTGCTTTTCTGGTTTCAGTGGGGGAAAAAAAATCACTTTTCTCCCCACAGCTTTTTAAATCTCATAAATACATCATTAGAATACCGGATTACTGCTCGGTTCCAGATCATATTTTATTCAAGTATATCTTAGGCTTTCATTTTTGTCTTTTGTCATAACTTCCTTGTCCCATATTTATCAAACAAAGCTTAACTTACAGCTCGTTTTTGTTTGTTTAGTGTGGTGTGGGTTTTTGCCAACCACAAACATAATTTATTTATTTATTTGGTTTGGCAAATGGTAAAGCTTTTTTCTCACATAATTTTCCTTGCAGTTCTCTTTCACTCTTGCTAAACAAATCACTCCATTAAGCAATGAAGCCTGCTACCTCTATATACCCACCTCCCCCACAAGGATCACCTCATTTATCACAAAGATTCAACAGTGAAACAGTCATCATTTTATTTTGCTGCTTTCTTCACGGGACTATGAAGGATAGTTTTATGAGGTTGTTTGTGAATTAGCATCTATAATTTTCCCTTTGCCCTCTGATCTCTCTGTTTGAGACCCTTGGCAAGAACAGAACAAATGAGTGGAACTGAATACAAAACCATGGGAAATGCTGTGCCTGAATTTGTTTGGCTCAACAGCTGGAAGAAAACAACTTAAGTGATGTTAAGCTTATTAATACCACGTGAGAATTAAGGATTTCAACCAATGAGATAATTAGATTTTGTATGCTCTGAAGCAAATAGAGAAAACCAGGCTAACCTAGCTCTTCAGAAAAACTGGTCCAGTTTATCAGGGTTAATCCAAGCTTTGGATGCACAAGTTCTGATGCAGTAAACAGTTGAGCAAGTGGATCCACGAGGACCAGAACCAATCAAGTCAGGTCCAAGCAATCTCTACCAGTGCAAATTTTCTGAAGGCTGGAAGAAATCAGCTTTTTAGCCTTTTTCTCAGTAAGAACACTAGCATGGTGTCTGCAGGAGTTTCCTCTCTTTTAAACCTCCTGCTTTACAGTCTTATTGCGATAACTGTCACATTCAAAACTATTTAAGGGAAAGGGAAAACAAATACTCATACACTCATGCACACAGACACTCACACGTACACACACCCAGAACAGGATTGCATAAACTCCATTTCCTTAGGAAGCAGGACTAAAACTGAAGTGTTTACATGAAATAGCAAAGCAAAGAAGCCAAGGCTTTGGAAGGCTTTCAGCCAGATTCTTGTCTTCTGTAAATCAGTGCGGAGAGCAATAGAGCAGTACCAATTTGCACCAATTTGGGGCATCTGGCCCTTATTCTTGACTAGTCCATTGTATATCCAGTCTTTGCAAAATGAAAATGTCAGGTTTTTGAGACCAGGATCAAAGATGTGTTGGAAAGGACATTTACTAGGGAATTGAAAACCCACAAGGGATAGTGCATGAAGGCTAAATAATATTGTTTTAAAGTAATGGCTACAACATTTTCAGGAAGCTTGCTTTCCCTGGATACATCCCATTTTAAGGCATCACTGTTCAGTCTCATAAAGAACACTATTGCTGACAAAATAGCCTCCAGTTCTTGCTGTTTCAACTACTGCATTGATCAATTTGAAATGTCTGTTTGCCTGACATGACGGGGAGCACAAATGATCTGAAATGTGATATGGCGTTGCAAGATGATTTGAACTACTCTTTACATCTTTCTTCCTTTTTTCAGAAGAATGACAGTAAGCCAAAAGAGTAAATGAAACCTGATTTAGGGAAGCACCTACCACAGTTATGGCCTGCTTTGATTCATTGTCGTAAGTAAAGTTACTATGTTCTGTTTCATTCATTAACAAAACTAAGCAAAATAAAGAAAAGGAACTACCAACTAAGTTCCTCTGACTACAGTTCATTGGGCCACCTTTGTTCCCAAGAGATTTGTCTACCTTTGCAAGCTGCTGAATGTATGTATAGTGTTTCTGTCCTAGAGCAAACTATTGTCAGGCAGGAGCCTGAGACAGTGGTCCAAGTTACACTTATTTCTACATTTCATGTGCTTCCAGGAAACTGGAAGCTTCAGCTAGTCTTCATAATGAAAGGTAGAGTCTTCAGAAAGAAAGAGAGAATGAGGCCCTAGGTGAATTAAGATTCATGCCCTTTATGGTACAAAACCTAGCTGTTTAGAAAAATCATATCTTCTAAGATGTCAAGGAAATGTCTTTATAACATGTCCACTGTACACTCCAGAAGAAGAAGATTTAAAAGTAAAAGACCTGACCTTTAGGTCACTCCTAAAGAGTGTTGAGATGGGTCCCTAACTATTTCTTTCTAAGTTGGCTGTTGGTATTGACATACCATACTATTATCTTAAAAAGTATTTTGATTCACTACTTGAAAGCAATTATGTTGTGTGGAAAACAAGGCACCTTTCCTCCAGTCAATGAAAAAAAGACACCCTAAATACAGAACCAAAGCCAACTGTTTTGGTGTCATCTTTGTCATTGTCTGATGAGCTGATTTGAGCCATAGCTCCCAGAACCTGCCCACTGTAGGTGAGACTTTGAACAAGAAATCAGGTAATGTTATGCATGTGTTTTCAGAGAGGCCAGGCACCAGATTTAGCAAAAGTCAGTCATCTGGATAGCAAGGAGATTGTCTGAGCAGGTATTAATTGCTCTGCACAGGTCAAACATATCTCTTGTAATGCCAGATAGAAACATAATTCATAGTCAAAGCATATATGAAAATAGTAACTCACTTTCACATGAGTTTTCGTTGACCAACAGGCTATAGACTTTTCTCAGCTCATTCTTTGTTTCTTCATGGTTACAGGAACCACAGCAGATAAATTAAGATCGTACCCACTTGGCCAGATTCTGGCCCAAGAAATCATACTTCCATATCCTAAAATCTGCAACCAGTTGATTGTTTATTATAGTAAAACATGAATGCATCTAATTCCTTGCCCCAATCCCATGACAGATTCAAAGTACTTCAAGTCCCTGCACCCTGTTGGTTTTGCTGCTCACTAGATGTGTATTGGAATCTGGCTGACCAAGAAGTGACGAGAATGTCTTCTTCCGAGAAGATATTTCATATGCTACAAAATAGTTTAGATTCAGCCAAGCTTCAGGAAAACATAAAATAGTGCTGAGATTAGCTCGAAATCCACCTTTAAACTTCTGGAGAAGTTCAGGCATGGAGCCTAATTTGGGCATTTTCTCAGCTACTTCATAACAGCAAATTCATGCTGAAAGTGCCTCTAAGGAGCTTTATGATGTGACTGATGGGCATCTTTTGAACTGTTCCTCCTCCTGCATGTGATGCCACCAGCCTGATAGAGCATGAAACAGCCCTACTGTTGTTCAACCCTCCCTTTGCTGCTATTTCCTCATGAATCCAAGTGCTACTTCCACAAGAGCATCTTGTTTTCCACAGCAATTAAAAGGTATGTATGTAAGTGTGATACTGAGGAACCACTTGTGCAGACTGTTTCCTATCTTTCAGAACATTTTCAAAATCTCTGTCCCAGTTATTAGAAGAAAATGAAGCTTTACATTTAGAAAAACTGTCTGAAAAGATGCAATGTTTGGCTTCTTTCCTCAGATCCAGAATGTACTATGTGTTCCTTGGATAGTGGACAACATGCTGGATAGTTCCAGATAAGGTATCCAATAACTTTATTTTGTGTCCCCACTTTTCTTGCCCTTGTTCCAGAGAAAATTGGAGAAGTGCCTGTGAAATAATTTTATTGTGAGGAGAGTTCTTATGAAAACGTCCTGTGCTATTTTTCATTGACCTCTAAAATGAACTCCCTAATTAAGTGCAAATGGGAAACGGACTTGGAGCAGGTTGTCTCTAATCTTGGACAAGACAGACGCAGTAAAGTTTATGAACTTGATATACTGAACCTGCCAAAAGTCAATTTTGCTTTTCTTCCACACACTGCACATAGAGTATCTATAACATGTTGCTGAAAATTATGAAAAAAGGGGATTCCTGAGACATCTGTTTGCACTGAAAGTTAAAAAAAAAGGAAAAGCAGATGATATCCCAGATGATACACATTTGTGCAGGTTGATCTTTTATGCAGTAGCTTTTATCTTCTTAAAGAATCTTTTCTTCTTCCTGAGTTGCGACATAATTTAAGAAATTGTGCTCATATTAAAAAAAAAATTATATTCCTATGTACCATGGAACTTATTTCTACTGAACTTACATGTAGGTTAATGGAGAAGAAGAGACTAATCTTAGTTTGGTAAACTGCAGTATGCAGTTATAGGAAAATATGATTGCATTAGAAATGAGTATTTGTATGAATGCAGATACAGCTACCAGACATCTGCCATTTTAAAAACGATGGACAAAAATTTATGACACTGATGTGCCAAGCCAAAAGGGAAGTGATATAATAATCAAGAACCCACCATATGGGCTCAGACTTTCTGTATGGGTCTGAACAATGACACTCCAATATTAGAGAACTTGAAGTGCAAGGTTGCAAGTTAGACTTGAGAACACCCTAAGAGGTAGGGTAGGTATATATGCCATAAGGCTCCCCTGGCTGCCCTCTACCCATGGCAGACACCACTGCAGTGGCCAGAGCTGGAGCCCCTGCAGCTCAGTCTCAGACTGTACGGCATTAAAAGTAATGTAAAACAAGAAGACTTCAAATACAACTGTGAATGCTAATATAATTGAATATAAATATTCTATGGCCTGTAGGCCATAGAATGAATTCAGATACTGTATGAGAATTTCCATGATTTTTTTTCCCAGACCTCTGGCTACTGCTATATGACTGCGTTTCCGTTATTTCCCACAGCAGTGAAAACTAGTAGTAGCTCTTTCAGTACTGGTGTAAACCTGATGGAAGATCAGACTCAGACACAAGAGATTTATTCATCTGTTTTATCCAAAAGTATATAACCATCATAATCTGAAACGTGTTTTGTACCTATTCACATACATCCAAATGCTGTTAAGCAATACACATAGGAAGCCTCTTCACCATCCTTTGTAACACATCTGCTGGAAAGATCACCTTTCATAAGAAAGGAACTCTTTCCTTATGAGTGACTAAGCTCCTTTGAAATCCTTTTTTATTTCCCAGGGATGTATTTTTCCCTAGAAAGAAATATACTCCACCCTACAGGTCTCTCTTCATAAGATCTTCATTTGGCTCCTTGACTTTGCCCTTCATTAGTAACTTGTCAGGTTTCTAGGTAATAAGAACGCAGGGCCATTTTCCTCTTTGGGGTCTGCAAGCAAAGACAAGCTAGAAAGTAGAATTACAAATGTGTGAGGAAACTGATGCTCCTACCATTACAAGAAGCTGTTGTGGTAAATAACTGATTGACGTGTCATGTCACCAATGCAAGTGACATGAAAAAGAAGATCTGCAGTGTTTTAAGATAAAGAAATAGGGCAAGAAATGTCAAGTGATGGGGTCATTAGAGTACATTCTGGGGTTTGAATTTGCTCACACTTCTGCAGCGCATATAAATGGTTGTATCTTTCTTTGATAGAAGCATCCAAACATGAATGCATATTTTATGTAGCATATCTAAGGACTATGTGGGTGATTTCAGAGTGTTCTGAGCACAAGGGAAGCAGGACTTCTTCTCTAACACAGATTTACTACCTGCCACTTGGCAAAAAAAAAGTAACTTTCCATTTTTAGCACTCTCTCTTGCAAAATACTGAATGGCCTCAATTCTCCTGATGCCTAGAACTTTGCACCACATGGCCCTAGCTAAGGTAATATGATGTGCATAAACCAAATGGTACCTCACAAGTATACAGATGGTACTTTCACTGAAAGTCAGTGGTGGCCACACACGTGCAGGCATGAGAAGATATTGCTGTAGAAGCTGCATATAGAAACTACATCTAAATTTTACTGTTCTACAAAACTGCTCCTTAAAGCTACTTTAAATAACAAACGTCATCATTTAGTCTAGCAGATCAAAACACAGCATGGAAGTCCATCTGTGCTATTCAAAGCCCTCATGCTGCCAAACATCTTAAATCTAATCTAATTTGGTTTATGTGTACTTATTAGCACCTACATCTGGGTTACATCACTAAAATCTTTCTTAGGACATTGGCATTTCACCAGTAAGTCTATTTTAGCTTGATTTGTCTTGACTTTGTCTTTCTTTTGATTCTATCATGATCTTTCCCTCCAGATTTAATATAAAGGGGTCCCTGACATTTATGGAACAAATACCTGCTGAAGTCCCTTGGGATTTTGAGTCCAAGAGGAACAATAAAAAAGGCTTATCTTGAATGTAAGACTTGGTAAACTGATTTCTCGTAATAGACATGAGTGCATCATGATTCTGAATTTGGGTTGTTTCCTGGAGACAGCCCTGAATGTCAGGTGTCATGAAAGCATAAAAACACTTACTTAATAAACAGAGATCCCTGTGACAGTCTCTCCATTGATTTTTTCACCTCATAAATATGTCACTTTAGCTCCATGCTCTTCTTGAGAAACTTTCCACCTACTCTGATGGAATGGAACTATCCTGGAAGTATTTAAAGACAAAGTTAGGCTTCCATTTAGGCTTTTTCTGGAGAGAAGAAATATTAATTTAAAAAAGGAAAAAAATAAAACCAAACCAAAAAGCCCCCCAGAAAACAACAATACAGGTTCCATTTTGGGCTCAGATATATTGGATCATCATGTCCCATCGTTATTTTGTCCCAAAGAGGCCAGCCCATGGTCAAGTGTTGCCATGTGGGAGAATTCAAACACAGTTTGTCTCTGGGCTTTCAGAGCTGCATATGCTTTGGCAAAAGAGTAAGAAGTGGAATAGAAGAGACTGGGAATGTCTTGCGGGCTCTGTTACAGATTTTCTGTGTCATTCTGTAGGCAGTCTTTTAGGTCCAGATTTTCAAAAGTAATCAATTAGATATTTGGCAAATTGATTCTGAAAAAGTGTTGGCTTGTACAACATCCAAATGCAAAAGTTGCACACCCTTAGTTCATGGCTGTTATGGAATTCTGCAACATTCCCTATAAATGCTGACTTTGAATACCAAATAAATATGTTCTTAATCATTTTTTATTAATATGATCTTTCCTTCACATCATAGTAAAGATAAACTTGATGCTGAATATGCAGACATTCTTCAGAGCAGGGATTACTGAAAGACTTCCAAATAGGAAGGGCTGAACGTGTGAAACTGTTCGGTTTGGATGAGAATGCTAATACAAAAGAAACACAATGAAGAATTTAAAAAACTAATATAAGGAATAAAGAATGTTGCTGCTTTTTGCACTTTGTACTTCAAAAGGGCCTGTGGATCATGTTCTGGCAATGAGATGTGCTACTGGGCTAAATGAACTTCTTGAATCCCACTGGGCAATTCCCACAGGCAGACACGGAAATGTGATGTGTGATGCAGGCCAAACTAAGGTCCTGCAAATGTGTTCTCAGTCATTACTCATCTTATGGGAGTGCAATGCACTCTTCAAGATTTGTAAAGTGCTTGAGATTCTCTTATACAGGGTGTGAAAAATCATAAGTGTGTGTGAGTGCATGTGTGTCTGCACATGCTTCTTGGAGAGGGCTTTAATTTATGGACAGAGACCTTTGCACACAAATAAACACAGTCATACATAGTTTCATGTCCCCTTGAATTAACCCATCTGGCCAGACTTCACTGGCATGGACTGGATTCATGCAGATAATGAGAGAGAAAAATAGAAGGATTAGAGAAGCAAAATAGGAAGAACAAATGATCTTAGGGAAGACGAAGGAGTCTAGACCTAGTCTGTAGAAAATGTATTTTAAATGTCAGATTTTGCTCCAGTATCTACCTAGCACAACTCTTGACACAGTTCTTATCACAGCGGTATCTATGGACTCAGTACCATGTGATGTGGAAACTTGCACACCCTAGCAAGTGGTCCCCTGGGAACTTATTTTCTCTTTTCTTTGCTTTTTCAGTACTGTCAGAATAGCAGCAGTTATGCTCAAGATTATGTGTCATGTTGAGCTACAGCTTGATCATGTCACATTTCTGTCATACATTGACATTGGGTTCAAATTCAGTGATCTTCTATGGAAAATCAAAGTTATAAAGTGAGGTCATTCCCAGTGAGCAAACACAATAAATAGAGGATATTGATTAAAAAAATGGGAATGTAAAGTTACTTTAAATATTGCCATTATGGGAGTTTCGCCCTGTGTTTAAAGAGCACTTGACAAAGGCGTTTCTATACTTAAAACAAGCTCTTAGCAAATGAGGCAATATTTCATCAGGGTTTATTTATCATCATATTCAGTCTGATTGAGTTTAGTAAAGGAGATAAATACAGAGTCTAATTGTTCAAATATAACCAGCTGGTACACAGGCGACCTTTTCATTGTTGCTTCAATAGCAAAAATGTGACTCCTTTTGCACACAGAATATCAGAGCAGCTCACAGATACTGTGTCACCAAAGCCAGTTTACTGACTACTTGCCAAGAGAATTCACCCTAACCCCTAGGAGTTTTTGGTCCCCATGCTGCTGTTGTCAGCAAGCTGTGGAAAAGGATCAAAAGGAAGATGTGCATCTAGAAATCGGAAATCGACTTAAAAATCCTCAGTTTGTAGCTGGTGAAGACCAGACCTGCCATCAGATATATGCCGATATGAAAGCTGTCTCACCTTAGTTTTCACTTGAAGCTTTTCTTTTATATGAATTAAATGCACGGATTCAAGCGATAAAAAAAAAAAACAAAACAGAGTTGAAAAGCAATGCTTGAACCTTACTCAGAAACTTAAAGAATTTCTTCTGTGTTCTTTCCCCCAGATTTAATAAATTTTCTGACTCCTAAGCCCAGGGAAGTTCAACTTTGCTGATCCTGACTTTAACACTGTAATCTTCAGCCCATTCAGTTGGGCTCCTGCTAGCTTCAGCAGCTCTAGTGATGTTTTCTTAAAAGCCATCTTTGATATGTGCTAATCCGTTAACCCCTTCTTTCTCCTCCTCATGGCTGTTACAGCAAGAGAAGTTAAGAATAAGGACAGTAATTTTTAAGGGAAACTGTATTCTTGGTTTCACTTGTTGGTGCATGAAGTCTTGGGAGTGTGGGAGTGTGACCAGCTTGATTTCCAAGTACACAAACCATCTGCCAAGATCTGAGTAGACTTTATCAGGGAGAAGGCTCAGTTGCTGCCTGTGTCTGACTAGTCCAAAGGGCTTTTCTGTAGCCCAGATCAGGATCTGCAATCATTTATAGAGCTGTTCAGGAAATTTAATTTCTTTTTCTTTGGGAAAAACAAAACAAAACAAAACAAAACAAAACAAAACAACAAAACAGACGTTATTTTATTTCAGTAAAATCATTCACAATCAAAGAACAGAAAACACAGCCTATTAAATCCTGCTGTTTGAATTACTGAAAACAAAACAAAAAACTCCAGAAAAGTAAACCCATATTTCACTTACTAGGGACCTCAAGTACTGTTCCTGGGACTGAGTTTCTTTGCCTTAAAGTTCCTTTTTACCAAAAATTTTCAACTAACTCTCAATGACCAGGGCCGTGGACCTACTGTTGAAAGCAACAGGAGATCTGGAACAGAATCAGCCCTGCCGTGATCAAAATTAGGATTTCTCTAGATTATCTTTTGTGTAGGAATACTCTACACTAAAGCTACAGAAGAGAACTGCGATAGAGCATAATAGAGAAATCATCCAGAAGACTCTGAATAGCAGGCAGGAGATTGTCTCAATGTAGGCATCTGCACATTAACAGTGATCCAGCTAAAACAAAGCTCACAAGAAAACCCCTTTCCTGTTACATACTCTTTGGTTTCAGACAATGCAGATGAAGGTGTGATACCCATTCCTTTTCAGAGAACTCAGGACAAACAGTACTCACCTTCCCCCAAGGTCTCATGCATCACTATTGACCTGCTCCTCTTAAACCACTAATCCATGACTACCTCTGAATGAAACAGAATATTAAAAGATATTTCCTCCTGAGCCCAGTAAAGAGCTTGAAATTCTTCCAACTCTGCTAGCCTGCTAATCCTTAAATTATAGATGTTTTTTTAATCTGGTCTAAGTGGGTGTCTCTGCTCTTAGTCACTGACAGACATGCCTTAATTTTGGTGTCTGTTATCCTGGAATTCCCTCAGCTGTACAGTGAAGGATAAGCTACATTGCTGAGCTCATCATATGGCCACCATAAAGAGGAAAAAGAAAACTGACTTAGATTGTAAAAAATGGGTTCTTAGAAACAGTTCTCCAGGTTGGCTCTGCAAAAAGACGTTCCAAAAGCTTAGCCTTCAAGTGGCAATAGTTCTTTGAGTCTTTTAGAAGCTATTGGCCCTGGAGCTTTATTTGCACTCAAACTTAGTGCCTGGATTTTGCAAGCTTAATGATCTGCCTGTGGCTTGCAGGGCCAATACTGGGAGCCAGCAGGCGTTCAGTCCATTGGAAAATTGGGCCCGTTATCTAAATCCGGCCCACAGAAATCTAATCTTAGCCAGGAGTTTGTACCATTTGTCAGCACACAACTCTTCCTTCTCCCCTCAGAGGTTTTCCAGATTGCTTGTATCGCATTTCATTGGGTACTCCTCTTATTTTCTGAGTAGCCTTATGCCTTTTTTTTGGTTGGTTGTTTTTGTTTTTGGACAGCTCTGTCAAGAGATTTCATAAGGTAACTTCATTAAACTTAAGGAAGTTACCACACTGACAGTTTGCAGTGTGTTGTGAAAGGTGTAGTGACTTGGAAAGTCTGACTCGTTGTCAAAATGAAATGTGCTAGTGCTGTGTGTAAAAACCCACTGGCCCCTCAGGGAAAACAATGAAAATATTCAGCAAAGACACAAGCCTGCCTTTGTGTTGTGTGTTTTCTGTTTCTCCTCTTCTATCTTTTTGCTGCAGAGCCCCTCTGATAGAAAATTTAGGCTTTGGGTTTTTATTTCCTTGGTAAAGCAGAGCACAGAACTTGTTGTGGTAGCAAATCAGCCAAACATGGGAGTGTAACGACTAATAGCAGTTAAACTGCCATTTGCAAGGTATCTGAAGTGTCTAAAGGAGTTGTGTTGCACAGCAGCCTTCTATGCAGAGTCCAAACATTGGTCTCACACTGACTCACAGCAGGGCCATAATGTGCTCCTAGCAATTCCCAGGATGTTTGGAACTAAAGAACTTATGTGCTAGACCAAGTTCTCCAAGTACCTATACCTATGAAAATGTTCACTGTCACTGAACCTGTTGTAAGTGGTTTCTGTATCAAGTGCTTGCTTGATCTACAAGTGATTATATTAGTTCCTACAGCTTCCAAGCATGTTGCAAGGGAACAAAAATAACCTTTTACAAGCCAGTGAAACTGACAAGGAAGAGAGGCAGTGGAATCATCTTGCCTGCCCCATGCTTATCACCACCACTGTGGAACAGGAGTAGTTGTTGGTGTACCGTTTGCTCTTCAGTGCTCCTGATGCCAAGATGAAAGCTGTTTTTTCTAAAGGGCTTGCCTTTTCCTGTACACGATCCCCTGAATCTGAACAATGCATAAGTCCTTGTGTAAGACTGAACTCCATCTGTGTGCCTGGAAGGTATAAACACCGCCAAGCTCCAGGTGTTCCCCAAGGAGGTAGTTACTTCCTCTCTTCCAGTTTCATGGTAGATTTCCCCATACAAGATCCATGGCGTTGATCTTTGTGATAAGTGGTTTAGGAGGGACCATACACAGTTCTTCAGAGGACCATGTCTCACCTTTACTTATACATTAAGCCTTTAAGAACAAACTGAGAGACCTCCTGGCCAAAGAAAGGAGATGCTGCATAAGCTTATTTTTCTCTCTTCCTGTCACATTGCTATTTTGTAAGAAGATTGATCCATGCCTTCAAAGAGCAGGAAAATCCAGACTTCACTGAAGCTAATGGTAAAGAATTCATTTTTCACAAATCCAGGGTTTCTCTGTCCTGTTTCTACCTAAGTGTATCGGGTACACTGGAATTTCATACTGCACTTTGAGGGGAGAAAATCCTTCCTACCTGCAGTAGGTTGGATCCTGAAGAAGAAGGGTTTGCTCACTTGACTCTTTCTGAAAAGCTGCCATCCTTTCCCCTGACTTATATTAGACAAGACCTCATTTATTTACATCCAGTCTCATTTACTGTCATGGCAGCTCTCTGGAGGTGGGAATGGTGCTGACTGCACCATGAGTGAAGTATCCATCCATGCATTTTAGCCCACGTATGCCTGTGATGGATGATCCACCATTAAATAAGGAGTCCATGCCGACTCTTGAGAAAGAGATTAACAGGTAAAAGTTCAAGATGTCTGTGTCTGGCAACGCTTTCACTGCTGTGCCATTAGCAGTAACACAGACAAATAGCAGCACAAAATCTTCAGCAATAAGGCAGTGTATTTTATGAAGGAGGAAGAATAAATTACACAAACATAACATCAGACCTTTAAAAGGCTGCATTGTGCAAGCCATTTTCTGTACTCAAAATGCTTTCTCCTTTCAATTTTTCATTGTCTCTTCAATTTGTACTCATTGTTCTTAACAAGTAAAGAAGCAATACCAACAAGGTTACGTTAGCTGAAGTTAAAACCAGTACGAGGTCAAAGCCAAATAAGCTTGTTTGTTAGAAATGAATTCGTCCTTTTGTTCTTTTATAATGAAACCAGTTATCCTATATTGATACAGCAAGAGGCTAACGCTATAACCATCTGGTAGCAGATCGTATGTACCCCCTGGGGGTGCATCAGGCCCTGCAGCCATGCCAAGCCCCAGGGGGAAGATGGAGCTTTCTGTCAGTTGCTGCTAATCCACTAGAGGCCATTGTGACACAGAGTAAAGGGTGCCTGGCAGAGCATTTCACACCAGTGCTGCTCAACCATCCTTTTCGTCCCATTCAAAATGATGAGCTAAGGGCTTTAGGTAGTAAATATTCAAGGGGCAGCGAAGTGGAGAAGTGATTCCTCTGGATGTTGCGAAATTTCCCATGTATTACAGAGGAAATTCTGCTAGGCAGAAGCACGGATTTGTGCATGCAGTTCGTGTTTCAGCAATACAGAGTGTATCTTGTCGTGGCATTTTGAACAGGACGTGCAGTGCTGTGCAATTATTTGCAATCTAGAAGAAGCATCCTAATGATTTCTTTTCTTATTTACAGCATTTTCAAAAAGCAGCTGCCCAAGGGTTGTTGAGGAAATACTGTGATGGCAGTTAGAAGTTAATTAGCTTGCACTCATCCATGAAAATGGGAGCAGAAAAGGGTGATTTTTGAAGGAAAATTGTGTTTCTGCTGGGGTGGAAGATGAGCTATCAGGAAGCTTCAATTTGCCAGTGATGCAACTGGGGAAAGGGAGAAAAAGAATCAAATAAGGGCAAATACAACTGTCAGGAGGATAACACAACAGTGAGAAAGGAAGGAAGAGATACCCAAAGGGGCAAGACTCCTGGCCACACAAGCCTGTACATCTGAAGGCAGTGTGATCATTTCTAGCAACTCCTAGGCTTGCCTTCAGAGAAAAGATCTGATTTCATTTGTCACTTGTCATTTCCATTTACCTCTGCAGCTACCTGAAGGTACATCAATAGTATTTGATGAAATGATGTAAAGAGGTCAGCCAAGTCTGGTCTTCATTTGAAGAGAAACCCTGCAAAACTGGCTAATTAGTATTAGTGAGATAATTCTTCATCTCTTTCTTTTTATGTACTATACAACATACATCACACAAAAAAAAATAAATATATATATACATATATGAAGATACTATTTCAGAACTCAGTATAGGAACATGTAACATCTGCATGGAAAAGAAACACCAAAAGGTCTGAGATAATGCAGTGTCATCATGTCAAACAGATTGTTTCTTGTGGGTGCAATATCATAACCTTTCTTGTTTTGGGATTTAGGGATCGGTAAACTAATGAGCCTTTCTCTGATCTTCCTGATACTGGGATAGATCAGGAAAAATTCCACTGACGCCAACCAACTTGACAGTTACCCAAGTTGTGGTATATGCAGGGTCAGGCTCCCCATCTCAGGGGAAACATGAACATCGCCTCTCTTACCTTTTACCTGAAGCACCTGGAAACACATTCATGTGTGGCAAATACTTCTCTGGAAAACAGGACAGCTTCTTCCATGTCTGAAGGGACTGATCCCACCTGTTTTTAAGGCAGTGGCTGCTCATTTTGTGAGGGTGTTGGGGAACTTGGTCAGAGAGTGGCTGTCAGCATCGAGTCTAAAATTAAGGAAAGGAGGAAACACTGATTTATTGCCCAAAAAGCAGATCTTTTATTTAAGAAACAGAAAGTTTGCACACACATGTTTTCAGACAAGATTTTTTTCAAGGAGAATGTGAGAGACAGAGAGTAGAAAAGCAGTGCTTGTGAGGTAGGCAGGATTTTTTAAACAGAAATACATTCACTTAATGAATAAAGCATCAAACCTGCACTGCAAACCCTGTGTTTTTAAAGGTTTAGAAAGCTAATATAATGTGAATCCAGCCATATAATCCTGTGTTCAAAAAATGTGAAATAATAATAACAATGTAACCTCATCCTCTGTATTTCCTCATTTCCTTAGGGCCACGGTTTCAAAAGGTCTTAAAAAACATAGCAACAATACATTCCAACACTTCCCTCTGATTATGGGAAAGCACCCTGCCCTCCAAGCCTAGGTAAGTGTTGACGTGCTCAGTACCTCCAACCTTTTCCTCTACGAGCAGTTAGAGGGATGGGTCACACGTGTGTGTGGTAGGGGTCAGGTCTTTATTTCAGTTTTTGGGCCTGGCCCAGCAAGCATTTAAAATTAGGCTTGGGGTTTTGTTATCTGAAGAAGTTTCATGGGTTTTCACTGAAATACTGTGTCATGCGTAGCACTGCTACCAATGAGATTCTGGGGAATTGAGCTCCCTCTGCAAACATAGATACTAATCTGCATTTACAAGAGGGCGCATTTCCTTTCAGACTAAAAATGCATCCCCCCCAAGTTGGTCTTTTAAATGACCTGTGAGGCCCTCATCCTGCGATAACACCACCCTGCCTTCCCCAGGCAGATTCCTCTATCTGCACGGCAGCCTCGGACTCTTTCTGGGGTTGTGCACGACCTCAGGGACCTATCAGCATGGAGCCTCCTGGAAGATGGATGGCTCCAAAAAAAGTGAGGGAATAGTCAGACTTGGTTGGAAATGGTTAGCAACTTCTCTAGGGAAAGCCTGAATAACTGACAGGAACAGGAGCAGGCATGGATAGATCTCTCATGCAAACCCTGGCTAAATGTGAATAGTACAGTGGACGTCAGTAAACCACAAAGAAAATGCTTCTTTTAATAGTGATCGTGAGCATTTCTACTTGTGCTGAATATTTAATTTGAGATTCTTGGGTAAATTTATAGGTATTTACTTTTTTCGTTGCATGGGTAAACTATGGTATCATGGAGGATTTGGCAGCTGGTTCTCTGCAGATAACAGCTGCAGATCTGGATCCATAACTTAGGAATCCTGATCACTAGATAATTGCTCCACAATGCATCCAGAGCATAAAAAAACCAAACCAATAAATCATCTCTCTTTAAACAATATAAACTAAATTGTGGTTGTTGTTTTGCTGTTTTGCTTTTTTTGAAGGTATTTGGATCTGTTTTTCTCTTGATTTTGAATCTTCTACGACAAAATGAGCTCTTCTCTAGTGCTACCGTACTCTAATTCATCCAATTTATTTGGATCCATTCCTTAATTTTAAAATAAGGGATGCGAAATTGTTTTGAACTGTTTTTTTCACCAACTGACTTTAGTTCAGGTAAACCCTCTGAGGGATTTGGCTATGTTTGTAGTTTTGGTGATTTTGTAATAAATATGCAATTACTATCAGAACAGCCTTTCCTCAGCTGGGAGAAAGCCACACCATCACCATATTCTGGTGACTGCAGCAGCACATGTTATGACAGAAATGCTTCAGTCTTGAGCATAGCTACTTCCCTATTTTTTTTTTAATTGTCTATTCGTGCCAAGAATATTTGCCTTTCTTCTTCTTCTTCTTCTTTTATACACATGAAACAGAGTTCTCCATTACATTGAGCTTCAAATCTGCATTTTCCAGTGCCTGGAGAAGATTTGTTCTCAGCCCACGCTGTAGCTCTCTTGGGTAAAGTTTTTAGTACACAGTGAGGAGTGCATCACGCTTCAGCCATAACTGGAATGTGCACAGCTTTGTGAAGTTTCTCAGAATGACTCAAAGAGTGGAAGCAAATAAAAAACCACAGAGATATTTGTATCTTAAATGTGCTTCAAGTAACTGCATTATTACCACAGCACCTCCTAGGCTTCCCGTTTTTGCAGATTGCACATTGTCACCACTTCCTAAATAGCTGTGTTTATTTATTGAAACTCAAGGGGTTTATTTAACACCTCACATAAAAAACACTTCTCCTTATACAAGTCATTTAAGCCAACATCTCCAAAGTTTGGTGCCTATAACAACCCACCTTAATCCTTATTTAGACATGCATGCAAGTAGCTTTATTTTTAAGCAATATGAAGCATTTCTGGAAACCATACTTCTAATTTCTTTGATTGCCTTTCTTTGAAATTAGGACCCAGCTCACCAGTGCATTAAAAGCCCAGTTGATATAAGAGTCCTGAGTTATGGCAGGGGCTGCAATCAGAGCACTCATATAACTTTATAAGTGAAACATAATCTTGAGTGAAGTGCTGGACTTGAGACTATTGCCTATGACTGGCACACATGGAGTTGAGGTGAGATTGCAGTAGAAATGAAAGCTATGCGGTCATGTCTCACTGTGGATGGGGGTCCAGTGTATAATTCCCATAACCCTTTTCCAGAATCCCAGCACTGTCACTTAGATTTGGAAATGTTAAAGTGAACATCATCGTGTGCTCAGTCATTAAATTCTACAGCCAGTGGAAGGAAACGTTTTGGGAGAAGCTAGGAGTTTGTTGGAAACATTCTGTAAGAAATACCAGAGATCTCTTCCCTTACAAAAGGAGAATGCGTTAAAATTACTTTTTGTTTGTGACAGACCACACACTTGCTCCCATCATATTGGATGTGGTGTAACTGAGTTGGAGGCTGTAAGGGTAGGTCCAGCGGAGCTAAAAATGTGCCTCAGGAGGCTGATGGCTGCTGTGTCAGAGAACCACAGCAGCACTTCTGGTATGGGCAATGAACAGCAGTGAGCTGGGGAAGTGGCAAGTTTTAGATTGTAATTTTGCAGGTTTAAGCCTCTGCCAAGCCCATAGTGTCAGCCAAAACCACAGCATTGCAAAATGTGCCTTAACAGCAAGCCGAAAAATCAATATGCCTTCCTTATTTTCCTGGAGCATGACAGAAAGCCCTTATAGTCAATAGCTGTCTTACTGTCAGTCTAAGTGGGCACTGTATAAAATCCTGGTGGACAAAAAGTAACAGAGGGAAAATAAGGGACCCACTTGCACACAGAGGACACCTTTATTATAGGAGCTTTTCTGTGAAGGAAGCAGATGGGGTTTGTGCCATATAAATAGATAAAGCAGTCTTGCATGTAAGGCATCAGTAGCAGTGCATGTTAAGGACTACCTATTTAAGTTCATTTCTGCATAGTAGATCAAGTAAGGAAATGCTGAACTGTAAACCTCTGCTAATTTACAAAAGGGCACAACAGTAGGTAAAAGCATAGCAAATTAGGAGATTGGATTGACAGCACTGTATAAATCTTGGTTGGTAACACTACTTAGATGGCCAAGATCCTAAGAGCACTTATATAATAAAAATGTGCTCAAGGAAATATTTGCAGATTGAAGGGAAATGATAAGAGAGCAAATTATTTGCACAATTGTACTCAGCTATCTATAATTGTGGTTTATAATGAAAATAGGAGGCCAAATTTGATCTCTAAATGAGCGCAGCTCCACAGGTCTGGCTTGTAATTTACTAATAATTTATCTGAAGATAAATGACAGCATGTAAGGTTACTCATTGTTTGCATGGATTGACATTAATTCATATATAAACACTTTCTTGCACTTTCAAGCATACAATGATGGAAGTTCTGCAGACAAAACCAAAAATACAGTCTCTTGAGTCAGACTCTTTCTACCACTGTGTTACTGAAATTTCCAATCATCATCTCATGACAATAGTTTCAAGGGATTTATGAAAAAGTAGCAAAGAATACACTTTTCTGTAATTTACTATTTCCTGTAATTCATCATACCATTTTTCCCCCAAATCGCTTTGACTTTTTTTCAGGAGTATCATATATCACAGTCCTACTGCTGGTGACCCTTTTTCAACTGATATTCTCCTGCTTTTGTGCATTGTTTATTAATTGCTGTTTCATTGAAAAGACAACTGTGAAACTAAAAGGCAAAGTAAGAGACAATGGGATAGGGTAAGACGGTTGACTAGAAAGCTACCCCCGCAGGGCTTTCTTGGTTACCAAAACAAACCAAAGAGATTTAGATAACTTAAAACTTCAGTATTACTCATCAAGTACATGAAGTTCTGTAGTCTGGGCTTCACAGAAGGTCAAACTAGATGCATTCTGTTTGTTTGGTATCTACTCAAATCGATTGAAACCACTGGCAAATGTTAAGGGTAGCCACACCAAGTACATTAGGAATGGATTCATCTTTGAGAACCATAACTAATGATGTTAAAGTAAAATGAAAATAATAGTGGCAACATCAAGGAGGAAATGCAAAGTAACATATAAGGGCTGGCTAAGATTGGAGTCTGCAGTAATTGCTTCACCTATGAAGCTGAGAGAAGTGCCACAAGCTCTCACTTTTTGAGTGGTTTATTTAGTAAGCTAGAAGATGAGAAATAATCATTTATTTGGATAGGGTTCCTAGACATAAATAAAAAGCATACCACAATTTTATAAGCACAGGAATTACTGTCCTACAGAGGAAAATATGAACATATTAAAGGCAGTATTCCAGAGTTTTTGTATGCTCACCCATGGGTTTTGATATGCATTAATAACTTTACAACTAAACCACTTGAATCCAAGGATGAGAAAAGATAGATTAAGGTGCATGTCTTTTTAAAAGCTACACTTTTGTAATCTAGTTATGTACACTCGGAATGATCTTTCAGGATTCCCAGCAACTATGTGAGGAATGGCTGTAATTTTTTTATTGTGGCAGAAGATGATCAAATAATGAAGGAGCTGGCTGGGAGATGGAAATTTTTCACTCAGCTTCCAGCACTGACACACTCTTCCTGTATGACCCTGGCTAAGTCACGCAATCTCTTTGTCACCCAGTTCCTCATCTGAGCCTTAAGTATGTGAAGAAATGAAGGATTTTTGATTATCTATCTCTCTGAAAAAGCATCTCTAATGTCACACCTCCCCAGGGCATCCTGATCCACAGCACAGACATTAACATCTCTTTGTGAACTGCACATTAAATTGCAGTCTGATTAACCAGATTCACCCACAAAAGTTTCTAGCAATTTCTATGCACCAACAAGGAACTGATGTAGTCCCGATCTCCCATTCAATAGGCTCATGTTCCCCTGGTCGGCGGTAGCAACCTAATGAAAGTTTTACTGGTTATATTCCTCGTTTTATGAAAAGAAAATTACTCTTAATTCAAGCAGTTCTAGGAAATGGGAAGTGTTGCCAGGCGTGTTGTAATTACACAGCTAGTCAGAGATAAGTGTTGGGGCACGGTATTTTGCTGGGTGAGAAAATACTGTTACAGAAATTACAGCAGAAGCCCTTACCCACCTTTACAGCTCCTCACGAGTATATTTACAAAGCGTGTTGGAGCTATGCCACACAAGGTCTTCTCTTTGCCCATGTTAAAATGTGGAGAATAAAACCAACAGCTGGAGGAGCAATACAAACCTTCCTTGGAGTCACCTTGCTTTAAGTGTGACTCCACATTTTAAGGAACAGCTGGAATAGAACCAAAAATAGCAAAAGCCTCAACCAAAGATGTTGCTTGGAAGTACTAGCACAGTTTCTGAGACAGGCAGACTTTTGTCCTTTATTGTCACAGTTTTCCTTTTAGATGTCTTAATGCCTCAGCGATAGTAGACACATAGACTGACACTTCAGGTTTGATAAGAACCATGAAACAGGCATCAAAAGTAAACCACTGCATTTCAAGTGCTGTTCTAGCCCTTTTTCTGTATTAAAAGTCATGAACTGATTTTTCTGTATTTCTCATGTCTTCACAGGTATCCAGGCTGCACTGGTTCGAAAGCAACTCTTCTCCAGGATTATGTGACCAATGCACAGAGAGCATTTTTGCTTTTCTTTGTTGTTTAATTTGTGAAATTGCCTGAAATAATATCACAGTTTCCTCACAATTACTTTGTGTTTTGTTTAGGGAGCTGAATCTGACTCAGTGTACCAGAAGACAGACAATTGTTGGCACCCCTAAATGACTCATGAAGGCCTTGAAGAGGCATCTGGCTAAGTTGTGAAGGGCAGTTGATATTCTGTCAACATGTAAGAGCTTCCAACTAAAAGTACTAGTTTTGTAAGCTTTTTCCATGTCCTTGGGACTTCAAGGGGTGAACACATTCATTTCCTTTCATTTTGCATCTGTGTGATAGCTTTTAAACATAGATAAGATCAAATCTTTCCAACACTGATACCTATGGCAAAACTCCCTCCGACTTCCATGAGACACGGATTTGGTCCATAAGAATCAGTGTCTAGGGAGGATGCATTGGAATAAATGGTGATTGTCAAAGCACATTGGAATTTAGAGCACATTTGTTGCAAAGATAGAAGCTCAATGGGTATGTGATTGTCAGAGTCAATTTTATTTTCCTTTGCTACACATATGCACATATTTGAACCTTGTCATCCTGCAAAGGGAAATACCTCATTAGATTTCACTAGGGTATCTTCAGAGATGTTTATACACTACAGTCAATAAAGATATTTTTTGTTTAATGAATGAAATTCTGGAATAGTCTGTTCTATCAGGAAATCGAAGGAAGTGCATTTATCCCTGGTAAAGATGAGGCTCTACTTTAGAGGGTGCAGAAAGCCTGCAATGTATATTATTTTTCAAATAGTTGAAAGATTTATAGTGGTAAATGAATCCTTTTTCAGTCTCTTGATCATATTTTCTGCAACAAAGCAAATGTTACAAATAAAAACAAGAGTAAACCCAGAGCTTTCCTACATTCTGTATTTTCAATTATGATTTTAACATAAATGAATCACTTGTTCTTTCTTCATTTGGAAACAGTTTTACTTCCCTTTTCCCCACTGGACATATAATTTTGATTTATAAACACAGCAATCTGGAGCAAAGGGAAGTTTTAAGCACAGTACATACTCTTGCTGAGGCCTAGTTTTATTTTGCTTAGAATTTTTATCTTTATTTCTTAACATTTTCAGATCGATTTTAGATTTCTACTTTGGAGATGAAAAACATGGTTGAAGATGACATATTTTGCCCCTTTCAAATTCACACAGGCCTAAGGTTTCATCTTGCACCCAAGGCCTCATTTTATAAACATAGTGAAGAGTTCTTCCAGTTAAAATGTGCTTTTAACTGGGATAAACCCATCTCCCCATGTTAAGACTTATAAATCTTCTCCACAGTGCTATTTACAATCCAGCTACTGCATGCTTACTTTGTTGACTATGAATGAATAAGTCAGTTTTCCACATCACCCCATTTTCTTTGCTGATGTTTTGATTTGGTGTCTATCCAAAAGTCTCTGATCATAGACACATGATTATAAAACCATCTCTTGCACTGAAAACTATTTAAGAAGCAAGCAATGGAATTAACTTATTTTAGATATTGTTTTACACTGCACATTTGAACTTGGGGATATACATTTTTCACAGGGCTCAGTTCTGCTGTGCAGAACAGTCTGATAAGACTGCAGAAGCCAAGAAATTAAATGAAAAGCTTTTCTTTCATCATTCACGACTTGACTTGAGTTTCCGCAACACAGAATCTATGTCTTTTACTCAACTGGGGCTCTTTGAGTGGATACAGGTGTCTCTACCAGTTAAATATTTTTAAATCCTTGAAGAGAGCTTCATAGGTTTGTTTGGATAAAATTGGGATTCTTTTGGTTGTTTGGTTGGTTTGGTTTGATTTTGTATTCCTGGTTTGGTTTGATTTTGTATTGCACTACTCAGATGGAATCTTGATGAAGTGCGAGAGGGGAAAGGCTTAGCTATCAAAGATTTACATGAGGATTTTTTTCCATTCTCTAAGAATCTAGGATATCCAGAAAAGTGTTTTCATTCACAACTTATGCTTGAATTCTGAAAACACCATGTATAAAGCCTGTGGGAGATCCCTAGAACTACTGGCACACGTTTTATATATTAGGATTAGAGACAGGCTGTGTTCTCAACAATAGCATCTGTAATTCTTTCCTTCCCATTACTCCAGACATAAAGGAACTGACATGAGAACTTCTAGATCTGGATCTACTCCTTTCCTTTGAATCCTGAGTGAAATTCAAAACTAGAGAGAGCTGGCAGAGTGCAGGAATCTTCTAGTGACGGAAATAACACAAAGACCAGCCTTGGAAGGCAACTGATCTCAAAGGAAAAGAGCCACTGAGACTTGAGCATAATAGAATTCAAACTCCATTGAAGCCTTTGCTCATTGTCAAAGCTAAAATCCAAATCTTATCCCACATCTCATCCCGAGGTGAAAGTCCACTGCAGTAAGACACTTGACAAGTCCCCTTGTAGGACAGGTATAACACAGTTTGTAAATTGAGCCTTATAGAAACACCTTTTAATCAGAAGAGGACAAGTGTCCTTTTTTATTTTAGAGAACAGGAGATAGCTAAAGGGAATTTGGCATATGGAGAGACCAGCAGATGAGCTGTCTTGGAAGATCTTGCTTTCATTACCTTTGATCTTGCAAAGATCTATGGTATCAGTATTGCCTATTCCAAACATGTCTTTTTGTTTATACTAAGTCCTGGGCATCCAAAAAGGTTGCCTTACATCTCCTGAAACCAACTCCTATATTTTATTATCTGGAATAGAAGAGTACCATGCCTGCCCACATTATTCTTCAATCATATTCCATAGGAATCAGATTTTTTGTCATACACTGACATGTGTGCCTGGCAATTGTAGCTTAATTATATTAAGCCCTTCATAACATACTTGGAAAAGAAATCAGTGTCTTTGTCAGTCACTGACACCCAGGCAATATTTCAGTGTGCACAGCTTTTTCAGGTCTCAGTGGTAGCAGTTAAGATGTCAAGGAATTGGACTGAATTCACAATTTAACTTCAAGAAAAGAGACATTTAAAGGCAACATAGGACTGACTCAAGCTGGTGACACTGGTGATTTTGTGTTCTTTTGTCTTTGCCATTTCCCTTCTTTTCCTTTACTGGAATAAAACATGGAAGAGATAATCTTTTGGTAAACTGTGCTGATCAGCCCCTCAATGGCACCCTTGTTAAGGCTTATATCTTCCCTCTGTGGTTTGACTTCTACTCATCTAACTCTAACCCTTTTCCTGAATTGCCTCAGTTAGGAGCACAGTTGTGCTATGTATGGTCGCACTATGTAATCTGGAGGTGGTTTAGCGAAAGAGAAGTGAGGACAATTTCACTCACTTAAGATCTCTGTTGTCCTCTTTCCATAGGCTTTACGAAAGTGACAAGACACTTAGAGAAGCAGCATATGTCAGATTAATATGGGCCTCTGTTTTGTATTCAGTATTTTCCTACAGCAGCCATCAACAAACAGCATCAAGACACCAACAATACAGGTAAAAAAAACCTAAAAACCAAACCAGAGAAAGTTCAGCAATTGTCCATTGTAGAAAAAATAAATAGAAGATTCAATTTTGAGGCAGGTCATCTCTCTAGGACGATTTCAGATGGGAAAAATGACTCTGGAACAAGAGAATAGAACATCGGAATCCCAAAGAGCAGTAATAGACATTAGCTTAAACACCTCCTAAAAATAAAGAATGAGACTTTGTCATGGAAAATACTGACACCAGCATGTGATCTATTACAGAGACAGGGAGATACAGTACAGAAAGATAGTGGGGATGCAAAAAGAACTATGATATCACAAGTAAAACAACAGTTACAAGGAAAACTGAAGACACATGGTAAGGGAGCAACAGCAACAGATGTTTTCCCTTTAGGTCATAAATGAAAACAGAAATCCTGATGCACAGGAGCTTTTCCAGAGAAATACATCTATATCAGGGCATGAAACACTAGTGAAACAAAAAGAGAACAAAAACCACAAAGAATTAAAGCAAAACAGTCTCCTTTTTGCAAAGAGAATTAGGGCAAACACCAGGTAGCTGGTGATCGGCTGTTGTTTCAAGGAGAGCAATCACATCTCTTCCTACCAAGATGTGCTGTGCTCTTGTGAAGTCTACATGACTTGCTTGCTTAAGGGCATAGTAAATGGCACAAAGTTTGTCCTGAAGTGGTTGTGCCATGCTCTAGTCAGCAATGATAAGCAGAGGGACGGTAAGGACAGCAGCACTGATTGCATGCCCTGAGGCAGACAGCAGGGTTAATGTACAAAGGGTAGGAAGTTGAGTCTCCTCACCAGGGTGCTGCCAGAGCCTGTGAAGTTAGAAATACCCTGGCCGAGCTCAACCAGACCTTACTAGTGAACAACTATCATGTGCTGGTACACTCCCTTAGGGATCTGTAACTGGCCGTCATGAAAGAGCCGAAGGGGCTCTGGCTCTCAACCGCACTGACTGTTTATGTAACCCCGTGATGCAGTTTTCTTGAGCACATCATGATGCTCACAATACATTGTGTCATGGTTTATGTGCAGACAAGTTAATGCATTCACAGACCAGAGATGACTAAAATTTCAGATCCCTACAATTATCATTTTTATTGTGGATTTTCTTGTCAAGCACAACACAATGCTTTTTAGACAACGAGGGCCAAAAAACACCCTCCCTGAAATCAGCCACCTTTAGTCCTCTAATTAGAGAAAAGCTAAAGCATTCTCCAACCATTCTACCACTGCTTGATCAGGCTAACTCTTCCCTATCTCCCCTTACCCACAGCTACTCCCAGTCCATCCTCTCCAAGGAACATGGTCTGCTGGGGTACTGCTGGACCCCTGTATTCTCCATCCTGGGCCATGAGGTGCCCCTTGGAAGTCATAACAAGTTGTCTATGAAATGCCAGGGCAAACATGGCAAGCAGCTATGGGGTGAGTGCATCCACAACCGTGACTTTCCACATAGATCTCTGCTCTTTATTTTTCCCCTAGAATGTCCGTATTTGATCTCTGTTCAGGAAAATGCAGTGAAAAGTGTTTTTCTCAGACCACCTCCCTTTCAAGGCTGACATTATCAGTTTGGAATATTCACAGGGCTATTGGGTGTCCGGAAGAGGGAATGGCTGGGATCTGAATGTACCATTCAATCTTAATCCAAACACCTCCCCAGATTTAGTTCAGCCTATCAGGAAAGGTAATTTAGCACCTGGGGAAGATAGGTTTTGGAGCTTGCATTTGGCACACCATCCAGCCACCTCTGAATAGACCTTCCAGATGAGACATTCTGTCACAAAAAAAGTTCATGGAGGTGTTAAGTGCAAAAGCACTCCTGAACCAATAGCAAATAATACTATATAAAAAAGAAATCCTGCTTTTGCCAGGAAAGAATAGCTTTCTGTGTATTATTCAGAATGTTGTTTGCATAAATAGCTGGGAAAGAAGGAAAACAGGGAAAAAAAATAGAAGCACCACTGTGATTTTCACAGTTCTAATAAACGTGGTGCATATGCAGAATTGCTCTGGAAACCATCTGGTTGTGCAGTCAGTGTAGTGCGTGCTTTGCTGGGCTATAGACATACCTGTTGAATACAAGAGGCTAATAGAGGCTTATGCTATACAGCCTGAGTGTCAGTGGAAACAAGGGTATGTGCATATGTGTGCATATATGGCTGTGCGTGTGTCTGGATCATTGAAAGAGACAGTAGATACAATTTCAATGGACCTAAGGGAATTAGAAGCCAGTGTCTCATTTTTATAAGTAAGTGACTCCTTGTTGAGGATTCAACACAATGTCATGGCAACACATGGAGAAGTAGCCACTCCTCAGCCAAACCACTATAACTACCTTTGAATGCTTGAGCTGAGAGCTCATCCTACTCATGTGGTGAAACCCTAACCTCAGGATAGACCCATCACAGTCACAACTAACAGATATCAAGCACAGACAGCTTGTCAAGGGGTAGGTGGTAAATTGTTATACTGCCATAACTCAGCTCTGCATGTCAGCACACAGGGTCTTGTTTTACTTCCACATGCATTTCTTACCAGGACTCCTAAATTACTTGGATAACTTAAATGTTTTATGCCTAATTGGTGGAAAAAAAAAATAAAGAAGAGAAAAAAAGTTAGAAAAGCTGAATGAACACAGCTTGAATCAACAAGAGAGCTGACCATGAGCAGATTTGTGAAATGTTATAGCACTGTTATTGTGGGGTTCCAATTGCAGAACAAGGAATAAAACTGACACAAGATATAATCAAAAAAGAAATAAAGGACTGGAAAAGAAATAATGCTAGTCAACATTGTTTTATTAACAATCAGTCTCCTTGGGCAGATCTGATTTCATCCTCTGGTGAGATTATAAACTTACTAGATAAAAGTGACTGCATAAATGTAACAGACGTTTTAAGGCTTTTGACTACTACTAGACGACATTCAGACTTTCAAATATTACACATTATTATAGTGCATGCAATGTGCTAAATGGTGTAAAGAACCAACTAAGCATCAGGGACCAAAACCCAATCATCATCATATAGGTATGGACAGGGAGGCAAGGTGCTCTAAACTCTTTTGATTGACTATTGTATGATTCTATTATTAATCAGGAGTAATGGCTAACTTCAGGAAAAAGACTTAGCCAGATGTGTATACAGTCTATTACATATCTGCAGACAACATTAGTTATCCAGCCCTACACTCATTAGCCCACAATGGCAAATAAACTCTCCTTTGCCTGTTTCCAAATCAACTATTTTGGGAAGATATTGAAAAAACACTGGGATTCAGTTTCCCAGATAAAAAATGGAAAAAATCTGCTAGTTTGAAGAATAAACATTAAAGAACGCAAATTGGTTTGGGTTTGACCTTAGACCTGTTCTTCCTTAAATCTGAACTTCCCAAAATCAAATGTTAATAGCATTTGAAAACCATTCTGCAAAGCTGTCTCCCTTGCCATTCTAATACCATTGCACTGATGCTCCCTAGTTTTTCTCCAATGTTTGACAGTAAGCAGACTTCCCTATTTAACACACTTCTTTCACAAAACACCTTGATGTAGATCTTTGTTTAACAGTTTTCATAACCTGTGAGCTTCTTTCATTATTTTCATTGTTAATTACAGTGCAAACAAAACGAAAAGCTTCTTTTGGGGGAGAAGAGCAAGAGGCCCCTTGTGATTTTAAGATTATGAAAGGTTCCTCCCATAGGAGAACTGCATCAATATTGTGGGAATTATAAGTATAAACTAAAGTGAAAGAGAGCTGAGTATTTCTATCAGAAACAGAATAGCAACCTAAAGAAAAAAACCCAATTTCAAAAATAAAAACAATTTTTACCAAGAAAGCTATTTATTTGTCTGATACTATTTCTGTTCATTATTTCTGTTGCAGAAATGCTGGCTTTGTAATCTATGATGTTAGTTTAATATAGATAAAATTTAATTGATTATTTAATACACCTTGGTGTTGCATGTTTCAGTGCATCAGTTTCCCTTACATGTCTGAATGACATACCAACATTTGTCATCAACCACACAGTCTCTTTCACTGAGCATTAAACTGATCAAGACCCTTTCTTTCAAAACAGCTCTCCTATGTCCTACTTTACAACATGGACAGTTTCAGGTGCCATGCTTGAGCCCCATCACACAATACCTCAAAGAAGAATTGAGCAAACCCATTTGGTTCCACAGCGCCACCTCACATCCCCTTGCCAATGCCTGTGGCACAGCCGTGACACCCTCACCCCAGCTAACATTCAATATTAGAGCCAAATCTTCCTCTGTGTAACTCCTGATGGAGTTTTAAAATGTTTCTGCTTTTCCTCTCACATCCCTATGTGCTAACAGAATGGCCTTCTAACTGTCTTGTAAAGAAAACAAGAGAAAAAAAAGAAGGATCAGAAATCCCCTAACTAATTTTATCAGCTAGCGAGCTGACAAGCAGAAGTGTACGTGCTGTAGAACCGAAACAGGTGTGGTTTGAGCATTTTCCACATTTGGTCTTTGTGAAAACATGAACAGAGTGTATTAATTCCACCACACTGATAATGGGAGCTTGGAATCCGTTATCTGAAATAAAGATTCTGGGCAGAATTCCTCACGTACTCAAATGGGCAAGAAAACTAATAATGATGTTTTTCTTCCTTTTTTTTTTTTTATTAGGAATCTTTTCTAAGTGCACCAATCCTGTGAAGGATTTTTTGCTTAGCATGCTTTACATGTGAAAACATTACTGCCCCTCTCTTAAACAGTGAGACGCATTCCATGACTCCATCTCATACAAATACTACACTGACAGGTTTGCATCTCTGTATGTATGTGTGTGTGCCTCTGTGCTTACATACTTGCCCATAACGTGTGCAACACAACCAGGTTTGGTGCACTTGCGCAATAAGAATAACCTATTATCACCACTATCTCTCTGCACATGTAAGAAACCACATATAAACTCCCTGGAGTCAGAGGGGACTGATAAGTTTTGGTAGGTAAACCAGACA